TGTTTTCCAAAAATACACCAAAATCCAAGCATACTATTACATATGTTTAAGACTGATATTTCTCAGAGCTGTACTGAGAAGAAACTAAATCACACCTGCAGATGCCCTAAAGCATTGAAAATGGGCAGATCAAAACAGCCTCTTCCCCCTTGATAACCTATAATTCCTCAAAACCTGACCAGACAATTTAGACGATAACTGAATGCCATTGACAGTTAATGGACTCTGATTACTACATACAACAGCATTAGGAATGAATGTCACAAGGAGGACCGCCTTTACTTGTCACCATCTGAAGAGGTGCAGACAGTCTGGAGAATTTCTTAGTTGCTATCTGTGGGGGACTGAGTAAAACCGTCAGTCTGACACAGGAGAAGTTTCATCACGGTGGAATAAAAAGTATTGCAGGTAGGTAAAAGCAGTCTGAGCACGCCGTCTCTGTCATCGCCAGGGAGCTCTGAATCCAAGGAAAACTTTTAGAAGTAGCCATGGGGCATCATTAAAGATGAGTCAGTGGCAGGTAATTCTTGGAAATTTACAATAGAAATCACGCAAAAAGTGACAATGATATTGTCAATTGCACCTCATTACAGCTGCAACCCACTCTTCCTCTTCTGCCTTCACTACATAGCTTCATTTTCTACAGTGAGGACCGTTCTGCAGACTTCAGATTATTTCACAAGCTCTGATGCCTTCAGAGCTCGAATACTGTGTGAAGTCAGTGGAGGAACCCAGCTGTCTGTACAAAGCACTGTCAGAACAGAGCAAATAAACAAGAATCTTTTTGATACCCTGCCTTCTCAGGAAAGATGATCATTGCGAGGGAAAACGTACACAAGATGGCATCATATAGCATCCCTAAGGAAAGGTGGAATGCATTCTGAAGGCATAACATATGACAACTGACCTTGTCCACATCCTATGTTCTAATTTCTGTCATCTAAAGGTAAAGCTGAGCATGAAAGGCTACTGAAAGAAAATAATCACCACTAAGTGATTATACACCATCTTTCAGCTAATAAATCTAGAGATTTCAAAGCCAAAAGAAAACAAGACATCATTACCAGACACAATAAGGAGATCTGAGTGACTGCAGTGGGAAAGAAGAATTAAGTCTGTCTTGCTCCACGGCTACTGCAACAAGAGGTAAGTAGAGCTCATACTTCAGAGTCATCGAAATGGCTAAGAGCTGCTCAGGTTCACTTGCTCAGCACAGACATCTGTCACAGTTTGTTTCTTTCTGAAGCAGCATATACACACCACTGTCAGCAGACATCCCAGGTGCAGTTACCCAATGCCCTGTCTCAGCAGAGCTAATTAGATATTCCTGTCCGCTATGAAAATGTGAGACAAACTCAGTGTGTCACAAACTCAAATGTAATGTCACAACCCCATTTCACCAGCAGCACGGATGCCAGCAGTTAGAAGTATGCACATCTAGAGCACAGCATAATTTAAGCTTTCCACTGAGGGCATGCAAATGGAACCTCTGCAACAGAGCACTGCTTGCCAGGAGAGATGCTCAGAAGAAGGGAAAATCCATTCATATTCTGCACTAGTACTGTATCTTATGCAGCTTCATTATTCAGTAAGTGCCTTCTAAATTACTAGTCATCCATTTGGTTCAAGACCTTTTTACACAGTGCAATGGTCACCTTTTAAAAGAACTACATGCATATGGTTGATATTTTATTTGTATTCTAATCAGACACTGAAAGCTTGTGCTGGAGAAAGCCTTGTTTGGCTTGTATGATAGTACATATTAATCCCACTGTCTCCTGATCCCTACATATGTGAAATAAAATGTTAACAAAGGAAACCTTTGCCACAAAGGGTTTCATAGTTAGGTGAGTTAACAGTTGGCAAACCAGCAGCATCTAAAAGGAAAGACAGACAAACACCTAACCCAACAAATGCCGTTAAAGTGGGTGTGTGCACTAAAGAAACATGTAGCAACAAGGGATGAAGGAAGCTAGAGAGCGTTCATCCTACATTCAAAGATATAAAAGGAGTTCTACCCGCTGGCAGCATAACCTGAAAGTTTACATGGAGAGATTCGCAGAGCTGCCCATCACTAAGCAGTCAGAAAGGAATTGCTCTAGTAACAATTATCCACTAGGAACTTCCAGATGGCAGTAGCCATTTTTGCTGTAAATGTTACATCAGTAATCAGAATACCTAACACAGTATACCAGTAAATAACCAGTATACCTAAAAAGGAAATAAATTAAAAGAGAAAAAGAAAACAAATCCAAAGGTCTGGCATGCAATTTTTCCCTACAGGGAAGCATGAACAGAAGATGGGAAGTACAAACCAGTCTCTTCTAAATGCTCAGGCAGCTCTGTTTATGACCAAGCCTCTGTTTTGACTTCATCCCTTTCCCCAGAAGACTGTCACTGAAGACCTTTATCCATCTCCAGTAATATTTGTAAGCATATAGGTATATATAAAATAAGGCTGATAAGAACTCATTAATTGAAATTAGAGTAACAGAGTATTCATTTAAAATGTTGGGTACCTATTGAAGTTGGAAGCAGGAGAACCACAAGATTCCCAGTTACACAAATACAAAACCTTGGAGACTGTTTCTTGTAGTGGTCACTTTCCAAGGCTTTTTCTGCTAGTTTTAGAAACCTGCTTCTCTTCTCATAGCTACAGGGATGTATTTTGGTCCTTTCTGTACCATAAAACCAAGCTAATTCCTGCTTTCACTGTGAATGTAATAGCATACTGTAAACAATCAGTAAGAACTATTCAGCATATGGGTTGGAGTATGAAAAAGAATAGAAAGATGATAAATCTCCTGTGTGATTTACTGCCCAATATATACAATGATTCACCACAGTAATTTCCTGTTTGCAGTAGGCCAAATTCTCCCACCTATACAAGTGTTGAGTAGTTCCTTAATTGAGGCTACTGATTTGAGCAATACCATTTACAGAATAATAGTGTTTCATGTCACTAAGGAACTAGATCCTACCTCCAGATTGTCCTAGACTCATACAATGTAAAAGGCCAAGTGGGTGAAACAAAAGGAAAACATTTACCAGAGCAGAATGTGTCCTTAGTTAAAAATAGACATTCCTTGCGGCTGTCTCAATGTCAGAAAGGTAAATAACCTTGTAACTTCTGAAATATCCTGTAACAAATCCCTTAAGCGAGCTTCTTACAATCCGCTAAGGAAGAAACTGGAATATTGGCTCACTGCACGTCCTTCGTTCACAAACAGGACCTACAGAGCCCTGTGTATTTCACAGCAATAATAGAGAACTGTGTCATCCTTTTTAGTTGAAATCATAGGCAGCCATGCACATATGTGGATGTGTTAACCTTGCCTCTCCCCTGCGCATTCATGTTTTTCAGATCCAAACAGTAACATTACTAGATAGTAAGATCTATGGTCAGGGATCCAAGTAATAGCCTTTGCACTGCTACTGCATGTAGACTGGTTCCTGATTCTACACTTGACCTACAAGCATCAAATCTCCTGGCTTTGATCAATACCTAAATAATTCTTTCAACACCCCTGAGACTGGAGTTACTACTCTCAGTACAGAGAAGATGGAGGATTGTGCAGGTCTGTAGGGAGGAGTCATTACCCAGTTTAAACTAAAACATGCATGTAATATTGATCTTTTATTTTGCTCCAGAAAGTCTGACTGCTTTCTGCTCAAACTGGTATAGTAAGATGATTCTGCTTGGGAGTAAAGCTGGAATGCTTTCCAAGACACAGCTAAGGAAGCTGCTGCATTTAATAAGCATTGTAATTGTTCTCCAGACTAGGTCCTCGAGAGAAGTATCTGTTGATTGAGTCAAAATGCCATAGCCCACAAGTCAGATTCTACAATGAAATCTATTTCCCAGGGACATGAGAACGATGGTCCCGAAGTCCCCTTGTGACAAGGAAACAGACTTCCTGTAAGAAGAGTATCCATCCAAATAGATGGGTTACTTAATCCTACGGAGTTTTGGTAGCTGCACCTGTCACAGTATTCAAGAACCCTTCCTTGCTAAAACAAAACAAACCCCCAAACAAACGAGGTTGTCCTTAATGGAGCACATAGCACTCCTCTCTCTCTTCACAGACTCAAAGCTATGCTGATTGTAAGGGCTGTCCATCTTTAGCTAAAATCTCATGTTTAAGGATGCATATTTATTTTTGCTTCATGAAGGCTGTGAGCAATAGGTCCTTGTTCACAGCCTTGGCTCTTTCCTGAGAAAAGAATTCACAAAACATTTACTTCAGGATGGGTTACTTGTTTGCACAACCCTGTCAACTACTCTGAGTCAGAAGCTGCTTTTCCCTACTCAAAGCCACTTTCAGTAAATCAACCAGAGTTCAATTTTTCTGCTTCATACCTAAGGAAAACCACTTTTCAGCTTGTACTCAATCTCTTCTTGGGAAAAGTCATTTCTTCATCAGCTGCTGCTAATTGTTAGGAAAGAGGGTGGGGCCTTTCCAGGCTGACGTCCCTCAAGACATAGCAGAGTATAAAGAGCACAAGTGAGAATCGCAGCCAAGAAACTCTCAAAAGCTGTTTCCAGTGACTGCTGGGATTCCAAGGCTGGCTTTTTTGCAACTGCTGTAACTTGCTACTAAAAAGAGAAGGAAGCTGAACTCAGCTCATAGCTGCTCATTACACTGGAGAATTAAATGCAATTACCACGTTCTCAATGCGAAACTGGACTGATTTTGCTTTGTTTTTTTTAGACAACTGAATAAGCTTTTTTCCTCCCCTCTTCTTTTTCATCATTTTCGACACACACAGTGGTGATGTTGCAAACAGTCTGCATGAGTCCTGAATTACTGGTCAATCAAAACATCAGTGAAAATGAAATCTCTGGCTATAGTCCAGGCCAGGGATCTCCACTGCCTGGAGAAACAGCCAGTCCCAAAAGCTATTTTCAACAGAGCCCATCATTGCCAGACTCTGGATTAACTGAATTTAATGTTGCAAGTCCCAAGATCTACCCTCCTCCTTCATGTAAACCTCAAGAGATGTCTGCTCCCACTGGTAAGACCAAATCTTTATTCACCTTTTCTATTTTATGCAACACTATTATGCTGCTTTTGCAAAGTGGTAAAATACACTGACTTGCAACTCCTTTTATGGGAGCAGAGAGCTGTACTAACAGTAGCATGTACTAAGCTTCTGTGGCAATAATATCAAAGATACACAGCACACTTCTACTCATGTCTTGGTTTTATTTTGTTATGGTCTGCTGCTGAAGTCAGAAATTACTCTGTTTTGTAAAGGATGCTCCTTGAACTACAAGTTTGGTTCTGAATCTAACAGCAAAGTAATAGACATGACCTTCTTAGTTATTAACATTATAAAGTCATACGAAAGTGTATTTGGTGAATCATTGCCTTTGCTGAATTCTTCAATTTCAAGGTTACATTTGACATTTAATCTGACCCATCTAATAGTATTTTTACTGTAAAATAGCCTGAAAGATAATAATACATTAGTGGTATTTGGGGATTTTTTCATAAAGGTTTTCAGAGAGGCCTTTGAAATACTGCACAGAGTTTCATCACTAAAACACCAGTCCAAAACAGGAATTATTCCCATTTCTAGAGCAGTCTGAGAAATAAACTGTGTTTTTTGAGGTTACAAAGTTTTAATTATTCAGTGATAGGTTAAACATTGAGAAATGCCAGAAATCTTAGCACAAAATGGCAATTAAATATATACTCAAAACCCACTATTTGCTACGTGAGATTCAACACCCTCCTTCTGAAAAGGTGTCAGTCTCTCATGCCTGGAGTGGGGAAGAGAAACAGTATCACACAACCAGAAACTGCATCTTGTGTGACTGGTTTCCATGCCAATATTGCCTACTCGGAGACATCCCAAGTTTGGGGAAGCGCACCATTTCCATCTGTTCAGCCCCTACAGTTCTTCCCCACAGGACTTAGCAGCTGCTGGAGTCTGCCTGGCTACAGAGCACACACACACATATTTTGGTCAAGCAGGAATATTGGCACAGGCACCTCATGTTTTACTTAATGCTGACTGCTCACCCAAGCTTCATACACCTTTTTCATTTTAGGCTGCCGTGTGGGTTAATCATAAGTGTTTAAATCACAAGTGATGTTTCTATTCCTCATGAGCTGCAGTAGGAAGAGAAGCTTCTCTCTGCTCCAGCAAGCATTGCTGCTGGGTAAATCCTTATTTATCCTCAGTAAATACTATTTAATCCTCAGTAGCCCGCACTCCAACTCCCAACACTCAGACTCACTGGAACAGTGAGTTTCTATGTGGTGTATTCTATGTGCTAGCTAGTTGAGAAGACCCTAAGCTAATGCAATAAAGATATCAGTTTATAGTGACAATAGCTGTTACTGAATGCATTCTACATGATGAAGGTAATTCTCGAAGGGGGGAGGAGGGTGGGACACAGTTACATAAAAGGTATTTCAAAAGCAACACATTTAAGCTCCTAATCTGGGCAAGACTTTCAAGTTTAGGGATTCAAGTACAAGATGCAAGAAGACCTAACACAAACAATTACAGAGTAGCTTGTTTTGACAAAGACAAGCTTGTTTGGACAACTGCATATATTCTCAAATAACTATTTCATTTCACTGCAGAAAATCATTGCTTCCCTTTGGATCACACCACATTGGCTTCCAAATACATCAAGAACCACTAGAGAAAGTCTCTGGACATAGCATCACTATCTCAATTCTGAAACAACTCTGTTCTTTATTGTTCCATTGAAGTCAATATATCAAACCACATGACAGTAGAAAATTGCAAAGACAGATGAAAATCAGAACATGACTAAGAGGGGCAGTAATCTAAATAGTGTTGACATAGTCCCCCAAAGTAATCATGGCCTCTAAGTCACTATGACACCCTGAGCTGAAGGGCACTAAAAAAACCTGCCCTAAGCCAAGTCTCAAGATAGTATGTTTATTTCTGCACCACTGAAAGCTTTAAACCAGAAACATCTGACTTCTTTACCTTCTTCTTCCCAAGCATTCATCTGGATTTCCTTCTGCCTGCTACTCTTACCCTATTGTCCTCTTTCCAGCTCCAGTGCCACATTTACACTGGGTACAGTCTCTCCTCTTCTTTCACTCAAAATTGAAGAACTGAAGCCGTTTCTGCACACTACAGTTTGACAGTAGTCTTCATGTGGTAATTTGCAGGTTTACTCAGCTCTCTGCTTATGCCCTCAGATTGATGATCCCACAGCCAGCTTTGGGGTTTGTTTTGTCTCTTAAGAAAATAATTCCCTTTGTGAGGTTCCACAGTCTGTTGTAGCATGGGACACAATGAAATAAAGTAATTGTTGAGTAGGAAGTAGGCCAGAGCTAAGGAATGTGGGAGGCGATGTGGAAATTTCCCACAATTGATGATGAGCATCAGAATCACAGTCCTTCTCTCAGGGTGACATCATCCTCCCACTATCCTACAGTAGCTCAGAGATTTATGTTACTTTAAGCATTGTGTTATAACTTTTCCAGACTCTGGACTTAGATCTGATCCCCCTCAGAAGCGCTACATGGGTGTGAGAGTAAAGATGCCAGTACGGGAATTACTGAGAAAAATTCGTCTTTCCAAAGGCCTGGACCCAGCTCACAGCAAGGTGAGGACTCTCCTTGAGTTTAGAAAGGTTGCTCCCAAAGGTCTGGGATCCTGGTACATTCAAATCACACACTCAACTTTGCCAGTTTTCTGGAGAGGTTACGTCTGCAGCCTCTGCTTCTTCCATCCACCACATCAGTGGCTTTAACAGAGGTGGAGAATATATGAAATTTTAAACATGACAAAGGCCTGTGCTAGGAACATCTCTAAGACAGTAACAGCAAGAACCTCTTCATGCCCTGGATACTATGAACTATGCAATCAAGCCAAAGATTTGCTAAGAAACAATTACAATTTTGCTGTAGCAACTCCAATTTCTGAACAACCTGCAAAAACAGCCTCAGAAGCCGGTTGATTCCCAAATTCCTGGTCTGTTGTAAAGATCTTTATAAGGCTGCCATGAATTACCCGCTCATGGAAATTTATTCACCTGCAGTCTCTGACGTTCAATGTACATAGCACAGGACAGAATTCACTTTGTGCTACAACATTTGCCGCTGTTTTATCTTCTCTTACGTTCAAGCATCTCAGATTGAGCTGGGTGTTTTTGTCTCCTCAGGAAGCCTCATTAATGAAGATGGTAACCAAAGGATCCTCAGGAAAAAGAGGTTAGAAAACTCCTTTCTTGGTAACAGAACCTCCTTTTCTAGTAGCATCATCACTGTTAGGTACCCGAAGAGCCAGACCACTTCTCTTATGTGGTTAGTGACCCGTGCTGGTTCCCAGCTCCCCTTAAATTACAGGAGCAGGCCAGCTGTGCAACACCATGTATGTGTTATCTATTTTCTACCTGGGGCAAAATTTCTGATCCTAATATTTTTTGCACATGCCTCCACACACACACACCCCCCCCCCCCAACTCAAAATAGCTTATTTCTTCATTTCTTTCCAACAGAAAAGAGAAGAGTTCACCCTTATACAGAGAAACAGCTTAGACAGGTATGCATAACACCTTCAACTCCGTGCTGCCAGCCTCCTCAGGCACATTTTGTATTATATCACTGAGTGAGAACAGGACACTTCATGTCTGATTTCCCTCCCCTATCTTCTGCCCTCCCCATTTTTGTTGCTGTTTCAGAGCAAGCAGAACGTTGGGCAAACGCTAAAAGGCTTAGAGGACCTCGATATCCTGGTGGAGGTACTGCAGGAAGACTTGAACAAAAGCCAGTTGAAAGAGGAGTCTCTGCATTCTGTGCCAGATGGCTTTTGGCAGGGCTTCTCCATGGATCTGCAAGCCTCCCGGTGGGAAACTGGAGGAAGCAAACAGGCAGTTGGTGGCCTGCAGGAAAGACGCCACAGCTTAACCATGTTGCGTTCATACTGCTGTTTTAAAGATTTCAACTCAGTATTGAGAGGAGAGGTAGAGAATTCTTTTCACCATGATCTGAAAAACATGCAAGAGCCCAATTCACCTGAATTATCCTCAAGGACAAGTGAGAAAGAGAGTAACTGGTGGATGCAGGATGCATGCACAAGTACCCAGAGAGATTTCCTGAGGCATTCTTCACAGAACACATCTCCACACTCGAACCCATCAAGAGGCTGTTCAAAGATGCACCTGGAAGCTCATTCAAGCTCTCCAGACACTGAAGGATATTCAAAGTCAACCCCGATTTCTTTCACACAGCAGGATCTCTCTGCCATCTCCTTCTTCCAGTTCCAGCTACACAGGGAAGAAAGTTTACTGAGAAATATCCCAGCAGACAAACTGCTTGCCCCTGATGAAAATGGCAACAGGTCTCAAATTTTTCTATTGAAATATACTGATTCCTATTTCCTGGGGCACCTCTTGTCCCGAGGCTTCAACTGCTAGTTTTGGACATACCTGTAGCAAAGGCTTCCTTGCTCAATAGGAAGCCCAGACTTGCCTCAGTACACTCGGCTGTAGGCAGATAGTAAAAATAGAAAGATTCCATATTCGCAGTAGTATTGCCAAACCAAAGCTGATATCAGGACAAATTCAAAGTGCTAACAGTATTAAAGGCTGAGTTCTATATGTAGGTGGTCACAAGAAAATGAAAATCAAGCAAAACAAGTAACTGCTACTAAAAAAAAAAGGAAAGATATGCAAAAGAGATCTTTTCCATGATGCAGACACTCTCAGGATAATTACTTGTGTTATTAGTTGGTAATAAAAATGGGTGGGAGGATTACACAAAAACATTTATATGCTGGTAGTCTAGAGCACAGACTTCCAAAGAACTAGGAGTGGCTGTTTTGCTAGAAATGGAATGAAACCAAAGGTTTTATTGATTCCATTCTCCCTAGGATGGCTAATAGAGAAAATAGCTGTCCATAAATTATATATATATATACATACATATATACACACACACATTTAAAATTTTTTATTAGGTTCCATGCAGTTCAGATAGTTTGGGGAAGCTGGTACCAAATCAGATTGACAGAAAGCATGACATAAACTGTCCTAGTCTTGGTGGGAAAAAGATTAATTCCTGTTCCCATAGACAATCCTGTTTTCCCAATTTAATGTATTTACAACCAGCCTAGGAAAGCTAAACACCGCATCGTCCTCTTCCATGAAGTACCACGTTTAATTCAGAATAATTATTTCAGTCCAATAATAAGATTAGAGACTTGACTTTCCAGCAGTATTATAATAAAGTTACAATAAGCCACTCACTGCCATATTTTCCTGCATCTTTTTAAGCAATACAGAAAAAAAGATTCTCACGCATGAACAAATTTAATCACAATTAAGAAGTTCAGACGTTACTACTACCATGTTTATGTAATATTCACATAAAATTTCCAGCAGGCCACTTATCTTCATGAAATATTTAAACATCAGATTACATGCTCAAAAGAACATACAAAGGCAGGACAACACACCAAATAAGCTAATTTAATTTCTACTGGATGGTGAATGGTATTAGTTCTGTGTCAGCATCCCCTCTCTTTTATCCCCTTCGTCCTTCCCCACCAAAAAAAAGCAAACAGCAGTAAGTATCAGAGTTATTCCGACTTATCCAAGGATATGCTACAAGACAAGGGAGAAATAAATAAATAAAATCAATGCCTGCATTATGTTTTCTTCCAGGAGGAAAAGAAGACATGCCCAAATTTACAAGGAAAGAGGGAAATTCATCTTTTTCAGGATTAAATTCAGGAGAAACACTTGTAATATTTTGAGTAGTTCGGGGAGTCTGAATACATAGAGACACTGAGCTGCCCTCCTCCCTTCTCTTGATTTTTCAGTATCTTATACTCTTTTCCCTGTACCGAAGGATGCGTTAAAAAAGGAGGAGGAAATAGAAGATTGTTAGCAGAAAGGAATAATAGAGTCGCTGTTGGAGAGAAGAGGAATGGCATAACAGTAAGAAAGGAAGACCAAGAAATCTTGACAGATAAAAATCAGCAACTCCGTTATTTATATAGAGACTAAATAAATTAAGCACTTAAATATCCCAAGATATTGGCATTTGCAAACCTTAACATTTCATGTCTTAAAATATATTCTCACTCTTATTTTTAAGTATTTTAACCACTACTTTGTCTCCTACTTGTTTAAAACTCTGTTCTATTCCAGGCTGCTGCACAAGGCTGTTGCTCAGGGTAAAAGAGCTCTGACTTATGCACTTGCACAGAGATTTGCAACTCTAAATAAGATCAACGAGAAGGATGCAGAGAAACGGGTAGGATGCTAACTTGCCAAGACAGCGGCATTTTCTATCACATACAAACATCTTTCAAACCCCAGTCAAGCACCAAGCATCCTTTTGGACAGGGTGTGTCTACTGTATCCACTTGCAGAGACAGGAAAATAGGAACAGGGAGAAAGTGCTCTGCAAATTTTTGTCTTTAACAATGATTTTTCTCCCATTCTTCTCTTCTTAGACTGCATTACATCTTGCCGCAGAAAAGAACCAACATCTGATGGTGAGTGACCTGATATCCCTAGGAGCCAATGTCAACGAACAGGACAGTTTAGGGAAAACTCCACTCCATCTGTGTGCAGAGAATGGATATTTGAGAGTTTTAGAGGTAAGTTGGTCATTTATGTTGTACAAATACTGTGAAAAGGCAGAGCAAAGACAACAAATGAATGTTCTTGTTTTAAAAATATACGAGGGCTTTCTGTGCCTGAAAATTAGCTTTAGGCTGCTGTGGTTAAAGTAAGATTGAGTTGGAGGAGGGAGTATTCTGGCATTGTCAAAGATGAGCACTTATCTCAAGCTTCTTCATTTCAGGTTTTGAAAAATTGCAAAAACAACGGGGTGTGTGTTGAAGTGAATCTGACTGACCATTATGGTAAGAGGAAAAGCTTAACTGCATAGATGATTACTGTAGACTCCAAAAGTCTCAGACTACAGATTTTATCTGGGCCAAAGAATGCTCAATTTCATGTTTAAAACTGAAAGGTCTAGGAGGAGAGTCAATCAGTTTGAATAGAGCACTCTGATGATTAACCCAGTGTGGAATAGTTTACTCTGGTGACATGCTCAAGCACTGGATGTTTTGACTGCTCTGTGGTCTGCTCTGTTCAGGTTTAACACCACTGCACTGTGCTGCTCTTGCCCACACTGCCTTAGTAACCGAATCTCAAAAGACTGATACCAATACTGACATGGGAAGGTTTATCAGACTACGCAAAGATCAAATTCTGGAAGGAATTAACTGCTTATTACAAATGGGAGGAAAGCCTGAGTTACAGGTGAGGACCAGCAGCAGGGTGCTTGCTGTGGTCTTAAGTTTTCTTTTTCCTTTAGCAATCATGGGTTTTGCTGTCATTTGCAGGTACTAAATTCATGTCAAATTACCACTTCCCATTTAAAAATTGAGGAGAATACAGAACTTATGTGTTTGCTTCAGAGTCATAAATCTAACTGGCAGAACATTCTTCAAAAGGTAACTATAGCTACTTTTACACAAGCTCTAGCATTTGTACCAAAGAAACTAAAGCAGTAATGTAAGCTGTACCATCTTATAAACACATTAGATGACGCTTCCAACTTTGCCTTATCTTGCATAGGGCAGGAAATCCCCTGGGAATTCCTGGGGAAAAGCACTGTATGAGCTCTTACTACACTTAGTCCCATCTCAGCTCTAGGGACTGCTATATTTGCTATTATTTAGAGCAATCTAGTTGCATGCAAGTGCTGCCAGCATATTGTTCACGCCTGTCCCCAGTCCAAACTCCTCCTAGCAACAATACCTACATTTCCAACATTTTACAGCACACCAAGCCAGATAGAGGTCTCTCTGAAGCAACACCAGGGAAATTCTTCTCATGTTAATAAAGGACTGCTACAGGCCCAAGTATTGCCACTATATTCAATTACCTTCAGTGGCTTCTTAAAAGAGAAAGAGCTCATTTTCTCTGTCCCTTGGCACACACATTCAACACCAAAACTACCCCAAACCTGCATTACAGGGCCAAAAGTTAACTAGATTATCCTATGAGTATCAGCATTTCTTGCTAAAGTTTTGGTGGAGGAAGCAAAACACCAACAGTGAAAAGCAGAAGCCTGAGTGCTTAACAGAGGACTAGGTTTCAAGGGTGAAATTCTGCTCTACAGAAACAATGTACTATCTGCCATAGATTCTGGTATTCTTGCCCAAGATTAAGCAAATATGCAGTGCTTAAAAGCTGCAGCCCTTCTACTTTTTCTAGGGTCTTTTTTCATTCTGTCAGATAAGGGTTCCCACCAGTGTACATATACAGACACCAATAGTATAATAAGACTTCAATTAGCAATACAAACTTAAAGCTACATTTCAAGTCATTTAGGAACTTACCTTCTTAACAGTTATGCTCTGTAGGACATAAAACATAGCACAAGCAATTTCAATCCAGCTCATTTCTGACTGGACTGTTAAGGTGCCATACTCTCCAGTCTTACTTATGATTACGGGAAGAATCTAGGCTTCACATGTCAAAACCAGTACAAGTTCTTGAAACAAAGCCTACATCACTGTTAATGCTGGAAGTTTACTATTCTGGTTTCCTTATCTGTATAGAGTTACGGCTTGCTGGATGCTCCAAGAAGAATGCTTGATCCCTCATCAACAGATAACTTTTCTGAGCTTTTTTCCATACCATCTTTGGACCTCTGACATCATTCTTAAAGGTATTTCTTGGTAGGAAATTGATTTCTCTAGCTAGCATCGTTGCAACTCAACCACTGTAATACAGTAGCTAGCTCCAGCACCTTCCCTGAATTGCTATATAACAATCATATGGAACTGATGGGAAAGATGCCCAGTGATTTATAATACACTTCAGATTAACTCCAGCGTTCTGGTCAGAATCTCTTTTGCTTGCAAAACTCCTTACTCATCCAAAACCAAGTGGAAAATAGGGCAATAAATATGTGGCATTAAAGAAACACTTAGCATATAGATTGAGCTGAATATTTGTTGGTTTATTGCCTTCCAGGGAAATGCTGCTAAAGTTCATTATCTGCACCTCATGGTCCGTGTGCTCCAACTGTTGCTGAAGTACAGACAGAGAACAGACATCTAAATTCTTCAAATGTATTATAGCTTTAATTGACTGTTGTATATATCTCTTCAGTGCTGAGAATTAAAGAGTAAACCAATAAATGGAGAAAACCCTCGAGCCAGGTTTCAACAGTATTAGGCATTCAGTGTTAGATGCTCCAGTAAATGAATAAGTTGTAATTTTCTCACAAAGCTGATCACTTGCACTTCTCTTCTGAAGTTCGAGTTCCAGGTGTTTTACATTCTGAAGCTCTAACAAATTGTTAATGCAGGTGCCCAGCTCAAAAAAAAACAATCAACTTGGATGGATTGATCCTAGTCTTAAAAGTACCAGTGTAAGATTATTCTTTACAGTCCACATTCAATGTTCAGGTGTGCTGGAAATCACAGGCACTATGTAATTCTAAACATGAACTACGGGAACACAGAATCTGATGGGCTAGCTTTAATACCTCCTGCAGACCAGCTCAATTTGGCCAAGGCTGAAGTTGTTATGCGTTCAGGCAATCCTATTGGGAAAAAAAATAATCAAAATAAAACATACCCACACCATGTAACTGAGCATGTTCTCTCAACAAAAATTGAGCTATTTATTTATGCAATCAGAATTTGCCACCAATAATGGATTGTAGGTGAAGTCTGGGACAGAAGGTGTTTTGAATCCATTCCTTTCACTCTGGGTGACGCAACGAATATACTTGTACAAAATTTAAGTATATAACAACGGTTTTAAAGGCCATTGTTTATACTAAGCAATATTGCAAGTTAAAAGGATAACAAGGAGCTAAAATTATTCCATGCTGCCAGATAGCCAAGTATTCAGTAGAATTCCTATAAATTAGACAATAATTGTCAAAATAATTCTTCCCAGACTTAGTATCATTTTATTTTAACTTCTGATTGTGAATTAGCTGGTTTCTATGAAACTTTCCTGTTTGCTACATATGGAGCAATCTACATTTACATAACCTACGAAGTCACTGATCCAGCAATCAGCTCACATGTGTACCTTCTGTTGAAGTAAATGGGAGATTTTTCATGTGTAGCCAAGGCAGGATCCAGTATTGAGTACTCAGCATGTTTGGGGAATATATTTTTAATGAACCCTTTGCATTTTCTTCTTGTAAAAAAGGTTACTTTCCTGTTATTGGATATCCTTAAGTGTTAAGCTCCGCGAGCTATGTTGCACAACAGAAATTAACTTTTACTGAAAAATGACAGTGTTTTACTGAATTCCACTGGGATTTGGGTCTTATCCTATGATTCTTCTGCCCTGAACACCTAAATACCACTCTCCTCCCTAGTATTTTCTCTGGTCAGAATGAGACATGATACTTAAAAACTTCTGAAGTATTTCATAAAATAAATATTAGATTTTTATTCACATGATGAATTACAGAACACTACAGAATATTCAACCGCCTCCTTCCATAGGTGCCTCTGTGTTTTAATTATGTGAATTTTTCTTCACTTTTTGCCCCAGGTTTTACTTGGAAACAAAGACTTTTTCTTCTCTAATGATTTTTTCCTGCTCCACAGCCCCCCCCCTCCACTCATTCTTCCTTCATGTTTGCATTTTAACTCACATCTGTGCTTACAGAACTTTTTATGCTTTTGAAGAGAATTAATGACAACCTTCCAGGTTACTCAGCTTCCATTCACGTGGTTTAAGGATCAGATTGAACACCCACTGAAATTAAAGACTCCTTATTTACAATGAAAACTGAAATTCTGCATCAATTACAGAACCAAGAATGAAGCAGTATGGCGAACAAATAGAGAAGTGTATCAATAAGCGTTCTTAATGAAGAAATGAATTTGCTTACAGGATATCTCAAAGTGTAGAAAACTACCACATAAGAATGAATTATTAATTGATTTCTTTTAGTCACACGGAAATCATTCAGGTAAAAGAACAGGAATCTTCAGCTATCAGTATGTATCATTTATTCAATATACTCAAAGCTGAACTAGCTTGTAAAGTATGTTCTACAACAGTTATACATTTATTGCTTTGACATTAGTAGGTACGCTTTACATTGTTTTCATTGTTCCTTCCTGTCAATAAATGTATTATTTCATGCAGTATGTAACTTATTGATTTTTATGTACTCATAATACCCATGCTACACTCATAACAGAAGTAACTATCATGAAAAAGCACAAATTAAGCAGACTTTAAAAGCTAACAAGTAGAAAGGGTATTTTGCTGTTGTTTTAAGAGTCCAGAGGTGCTTGTGCAGAAGCACCAGCTTTACCCCAGACAGCTGGGCAAAAAGATGATTTCTTCAATAAAAGATAAAAATCCCTCCTTGTTTTCAAGGCCAGCACTAGAAATTAGCTCTGACCTTTATGTACAGCACTAGATAAGCCTAGTGATCTTGACGGTTCAGATGAAAGGCTGTTGCTTCACTTACCATCATGAAAGGAAAACCTTATCTGGCAAAGCAGCTTCTTAACCTGGGCCTGTTACTAATTCAGGACCGTCTCAAAGAAATTGATAGCATTTACTGAAGCATTAGCTTTACTTCCTTCAGTCCCACACACACTGTGCAAGTCTGCCCATAGATCTCTAGACAGTCCCAGCTCAACACTCCTCAGTTAACAGTGCTAGCAGGATCTTAGCAGAAGGTTTTACAATGTTCAGAATGAACTCCATAGCTTCACCCACAACTGTCTTTAAACTGAAGTTTTGAATATGTACACATGAACACCAGCCTATTGCTCTGGAAATACCCTTTTGCTCCCATGAAATCCTTTTTCCCATTAATTACGGAAATTGGCTTCCATGATCATGGTGCCAAAAAGATTTCAGGTCACTGAACTCCAAGGAAAGACTTCTTGACCTCAAGACATGTCCTATGGTTTATTCACACAGGCTCTACCACCATACTTATAGCAGAGGGGAAAGAGTTACCACACCGCACACGCAGCAGGACACGGCAGGAGCATTCCCAGGACTAAATCTGTCTGGCACACAGCAGAGAGCAGACTTCTTCTGAGCTGCGTTTACATTATCAATCTGGCTCAAAACTACCCAGCCCTGTGCCCTTTTTTAAATCAGCAACCACAGCAGCATAAGGTTCAGGGTGTACATCTAGACTGTGGCATGCCTGGGACCCAAATGCTGTGCTTCTGACACTTCAGCACCAGTTATGGTGGCCAAGCTAGTAATTGTGGTATAACTCCTACACCTAATTCATTCTAAATCAGATCACATGTGCTCCCCACAAGCTATAGTCATGCCTTTGAACTGTGGCACAAGCCATACTTAGAGAAGTTGCTTTCCTTCTTCACCTCACTTCTTGCCCCATATTATGAGTGTCATTCACTGGTTTATGTGGTTACTCAGGTTCCCTGCTCCTTTGAAGATACATGAGTTTTGGCATGCATAATTGTTTTTAAAAGCAGTGTGAAAGCATTGCCACTGAATTAATAGCAATTCAGCAAAGAAAGATAAGAATAAACAGCTAGACCAGATTCAGCACTTCCAGCAGTTCTGAGGGATGCTCAAGGCCCTGACAAGGATGAAGGCTTTATTTTCCTAGCAGGACTCTGATGGACACTGCACGTATTTAATATCAGTGATAGTTACAAGGCCACAGACCCTGTACAGTAAGTGAATCACCGAGCAACCACGGACTTCAAATGGATGTACAGAATCCTGTGGTATTCATGCCAGTTTCCTAGGTTTTTCTCACCAAGAATTGAGTGAAAAGAAGTATCTGAACCAGAGCCCTAAGAGGTGAAGTTCACTAGGACTTCAGCTGACTATTAGATCTTTCTCCTGCAAAATCAACATCTTAAGGTTCCAGAAGGAAACATAAGCACAGATGCTTGGATGCTGCTACTACACAGTCAACAAGTAGAGCAGTCCTGAGAAAAAAGGCCTGCAATGCTAAGTCATCGAGCTCTACTGGACATCTTTTCTGGTGCACACAGACGTATTTCCACTAGGTATCGGTAACACAATTACTTAGGATAGGCTACTATAAAACGCTGTGACAAAAAAAAAGCACAAGCCTTGCGACCAAGCAGCTCATCTGTATCTATGAAATGTATACAGAATAAATTGTAGGGGTGACAAATGGCATTGTAAGAGATGAAAAGATCACAGAAAACATATTATGGATAAGCAAGAACCTGCACGGCAAACACACAGAAGCTCTTCTAGGTGTTATATAAACTGAAAGGATAGAAATAACACAGGAATCAGAGCAGAGGGGTTCTAGCCCAGATATTCAGCAGCACAAAAGTCCGCAAGCAGCAAGAAAACCTGCTACAGACCATTAACTATGGAAGGTGTCTTAAGCAAACAGCTCCTCTGAGAGCTGCTTTCAGTAGCTAATGATGGCAGAAATGCTCCAGCATTATTCTTTATTACTGCTTGTGCCAAATGGAACAACAGGACCGAAATTCTTTATGGCATAAGTGTATGAAAATTTGCAGGGATCCAGCAGCTTTCTGACCCTGTCACCTCAGCTTGACACCAATGAAGTCTGAGCACAGCAGAAAATCCACCTCCTGGTTTGTTTTTAGCCCCTAAAATGTGTTCTTGAAATCATGCTTTGCTGCATATCCACAATTCTTGCATCAAAGACTGCCTAAGGCTGCTGGATTTTGCTTAAACAAGCCATCATCTCCCAGATCCAAGAAAACTTAACTGAGAAGCCTATGAACTGTTTGCTCACTTAAACAGAGAACAATGCCATGATTGTAAGTAAAACACATAGAAGAAAATTAATTACATTTAAAAAAAAAAAACAAAAAATCCTTATAGCACACAAACAAAAAGAATTAAATGTTTTAGATGATGAGCCAAGAGAAGAGTCAGTGGGATGCTGGACACCAGACTCTCTCCACAGCCCATTTGAGGATATGGATCAACATCTGCCATTCAAGAAAAAAACACTGACATTTCCTGCACCCCACTCTGCATCCTGTTTCCCATAACTCCACATCTCTCTCCATGTGATGGAAAGCAGTCTGACTTGCAAGGAGAGCTAGAGGAGCCAAGTTTCTGAGCCAAACAAGAGGGAGAGGCTGAGCTCTTGGCTGATTCAGATTCTTTTAGAACAGTCTCACCCATCAAGTTTTATTTTTCCTACTTTCTTTGTGGCTAGAGAAACTTGGAAACCAAATGGTTTAATTTAAAACAAGACATGTTTCTGCAGCTGGGCTGAACAGGACAGATGAAATTAAATTTAGAGAAAGGAGTCCCACTAACTGAAAAACTGTGTCACAAGCACTTTGAAAAGGGATCACAGAGGGGGAGGCAAGGAAAGAGGAAACTATACTGGCTTCCACTCAATCTGAAGAGGAGATCTCTCAAGCTGTAGCAATCACTATGACCCCAGTTGTCCCAGCCATATATGAACAAAAGCTAGCACCTGCAGTTCAGTGTTGCTGCACACTTCTTCAGTCTGTTTACTCGGAAGTTTCACTTGTCCTCAGGATAAGCATGCTATGCTCCTGAGTATCTGGAGATTGCAGGATCAGCCGTAAAGAATTCCCTTCTGTCCTGAGACAGTCTAAGTGGGCTGGAGTTTCGGGCACCCCTACTTGCCCTAGTTACTTAAATCCGTGCAGATACGGTCACATAGCACCTGTGCCTGAACTACCACACCATCATTTTCCTGACTTTTTTTTCCTCCATCCCGCATTCCATGTGGTTTCTAAGAGGAGAAAAGATTTTAAACTGAGGTTACCAGGAAGTAAAAGATTTTAAACTGAGGTTACTAGGGGGACCCCCCCCCCCCCCCCCCGAGGGGAAGGGGGTTCTTATTGAGCTTCTTGCAATCCCCAGGAAACAACGCTTATTCCTTCTTCCCTGGGTTTCCATGTTACCATTTTTTATTTGTCATCTGCTTTGAAGCCACTTCACATTTAATTGAGTCGCACAGTTTCAGGGTTCACTTCTATTAGCAGCAAGAGTTTAGTCTCCAGTGCATA